TATTCTTCTCTTCGCAGCAACTTACACCCGTCTGTCCATAGAATATTTTATATAGTCAGCTTAACAGATACTTGATTATCAAATCCACTTTTCAAGGTTTTATCACGTCCGCTCGTCGTCTCTTTCCCCATTATTCTCATAAAGAACTTTCTTCTCAGAGCATTACTAGACTAGTCCACATATTCGTGCACCGCAATAAATATCACTTTTCTAAGTATTCCCCCCTCCCCCCTCCGCCCCCCTGTTGTCGAGATCTGGTTCGCCCTCTTCTGCAGTAATTATATCACCGCAACAATCCACACATACGTCGCGTAACGAACATTCCGTCCATAACGTTGCTTTCTCCTTGACTCACTATAAAAATTTTTCTAGCCATGTCAAACACAAAGTGCACCAAAACCAATGGTGATGATGCTGCGCCGAGCAACCACAGTACGTCCATCGAGGTACCTTTTGTCTTACAACATTCCCTGATTATTTTTTTATATATTTCTCAACTGCTCAAAATTTATAACTAATAAACCTCCATTCCTTCTTTTTCTTCTTCCCTTTCTTTTCTCTCTTTTTTCCCCTTTTGTTCCCTTTATTTCCTTTTTTCCCCTTTTTTTTTCTCTGTTTCTTCTCCCACTTTTCTTCCTCTCTTCTATTTCTTCCTCCTTCCTTCCTCTTATATTCCCTCCTTTCCTTCTTATCCCTGAATACTGCGACCGTCATAGTGACGAGGTCCAGTCGTGGTGTTGAGCTCAGACGTATATGACTTGAAAGACCGAAACGTCTTAACTCTACTGTCTTTCCCATAAGCTTTAAACCTACTACTATTGTCCTCCCCTCTATACACACTTCCCCTATTTTGGCACCCCTCAACATGGATGCTACAAACGGCTTGCCCACCAGATGCTGCCACTCCTAGAGTACGTTGAGATACCCATTCTAAAATAGATATCTTGTTCAAAGAAAAAGAAAGTGTCTTACAGGTATCTCGCGTATTTATTTTCTTTTCATTTACATATCTTAATTTTTTCTGCAAAAAGTGCTCCTGAATAAGTAACAGGCAGCCCTCTTTTGTTCCTGTTATTCAAGCGTTTCATTTCTCACTTTCTTTTATAATGCATTTTTGCTGTGCAAAATGCACTCACTTCTGAACACGCACACAGACAACCTCTTGACAATATGCGTTTTTGCTGGCTGTAGCGCTGCTACAGCCAGCAAAAACGCATATTGTCAAGAGGTTGTCTGTGTGTGTGTGTGTGTGTG